AAAGGACGCATGTGTTCGCGCAAGTTTTCCTTTCGGCTTTTGGGTCGATTTTGATATTTAACCGTATGTCTGAATCTATATGGTTTTGGACTTCGTTCACAAAAATATGAAGGATTTTCATAAAGCAATAACGCCCAAATTAAAAAAGTTTCAACCTGACTCTGGCTGCCACCCCAGACTTCGGCTATGAATTTGTAATATGGTTGAATGAGTGAACACTTCACACCTCCTAACTCGTTAGACAACGTGTAATTAAATTCTTGTCTGATCTAAGTAAACCTAATCATACAAAAATAACCGATGACACTAAAACACTGTACTTACACTAGGGAGAGTTAAGACGATAGAAATAATTAATTTTACAAAGGAAACACCATCAGTGTGCTAGTTGAAATGGTTTCATTAGCTGGTGGGTGTTGCCGAGTTGGCAAGGCAAAGAGTGCGAAGGGGATAAGATCCTAGTTCGATTCCTGGCAACTATGCCGGGAGGCAATTATGCTAACCATAGGGTCTCAGCAAGTATCAGGTGCAGACTCCACTCTTTGCACTAATTTGCGATCAAAGTCTAATTTACCTCATCTCATTCAGGTCTGAGAGGGTCCTCGGAGATGAGGCTCATCCTTTATTCAAACAATATCATGAAATTACACCATTTAATGTGGTGTAACATTACAATTTTTCTTTAAAAGAGTGAAATGGGTTAAAGTTAAAGAAAAATTTGCACTAAAAAAGACTAAAACATAAGTCATTTTCTATATAATACTTAATTATGTCTAGTGAGAGGAATAATGTCCAGTGATGGTGAATATTTACATGAATAATGACTTATGAATAATGACCAATGATCCTATATTGAGAAATAAAAACATATCATCCTATATTGAGAAAGTCATTATATTTTAGACCTATTTAGATAAATTTACCAAATGTAAAATTTGTTCCTAATAGGACTAAAAGATGATAGGTTTCCCTAAATAAGACTTATTATGATTTTTTCTTTGTTTAAGACTTATTTTGTCCCGTGTAGCCATCTTTGCCCTTTAGACTTACTTTTCTCAATTCCGTTTCTTTAGCTTCCATATTTAAAATAGGATTCTCTTTTCTTATTTAGAGGATAATTAATTCTAACTTCTCCTATTTTTTAGGTGATCATTACTCTGTACGGAGTATATCGTTTCTCATATTTTCTTTTCTTATGATTTTATAAATATTTTTTTTACTTTTTTTAAAGAATATTTCCGTTACTATATTATACTCCCTCCGTCCCAAATTATAATGCATGTTTACTATTCACAGGGTCAAACTTCATTCACTTTCTTTCTTTATTTTCGTTAACAATTTGATAAAATAAAATATTATTGTCACTACTAGTTTTGTAAATCTTTTGATGTAGTTTTTTAATATGTAATTTTTATTTTTTAATTCTATACCATTTGTCATATAAAATGGTTTGAAAATAATTTCAATCAAACATCGTAAACCGAAACAGGCGTTATAAAATGGGACGGAGGTAGTAAGAGAACTACACATTTTTTACTCTAGGCCCTTATTTTTTTAAATTTCTTCGTATAACCCCTTGTAAAATTTACACTAAATAGGACTAAAACATAAGTCATTTCCTAATGTACTCCCTCCGTCCTAAAACTTTCTTCCCAGAGCACTATTCCAACTTCACGGGAATTAATAATGTCTAGTGGGAAGAATTAATAATATCCAGTGGTGGTGGATATTTACTTGAATAATGACTAATGAATAATAACCAATGGTCCTACATTGAGAAATAAAAATATATGGTCCTATTTAGAAAAAGTCATTATGTTTAAATCTTATTTAGATAAATTCCACTTACCATTATACTCATATTCACAATGACCTTATACACTATGAAAATGACATGTGTGAAAGTTTTACCTTTTTACTCATATTCACAATAATGACCTTATACATTATATAAATGTTCAGTGTGAATGTTTTACGATAATAATGTCTAAAGGCAATAATGTCTTAGATGATTTTAATATGTGTGTATATTGCTTAATGTCCTCATATGCATTGTTTACACATGTTCTCTATGTTTTTCCCTTAAATTCATATGCATAATGACTTTATTTTGTGAACTTCAATAGCCATGGAATATGTTTGCCCTTGCCTAGTTGCATATTACAACATATTGTACATCAAAACGTCTTGTGTGAATGACCTTTTATACATCAAAATGTCATATGTGCATGTTTCAAGACAATAATGTTTTAGAACAATATTGTGTGTATAGCTTAATATCTTCATATGCAATGTTTACACACGCTCTTTATATTTTCATCTTAAAGTTCATATGCATAATGACTTTATTTTTTGAACATCATNCTTAATGTCCTCATATGCATTGTTTACACATGTTCTCTATGTTTTTCCCTTAAATTCATATGCATAATGACTTTATTTTGTGAACTTCAATAGCCATGGAATATGTTTGCCCTTGCCTAGTTGCATATTACAACATATTGTACATCAAAACGTCTTGTGTGAATGACCTTTTATACATCAAAATGTCATATGTGCATGTTTCAAGACAATAATGTTTTAGAACAATATTGTGTGTATAGCTTAATATCTTCATATGCAATGTTTACACATGCTCTTTATATTTTCCTATTAAAGTTCATATGCATAATGACTTTATTTTTTGAACATCATCAACGAGCAAATATATTTACCCTTGTCTAGTTGCATATTACAAAAAATTAATGCCTAAGACACTATCTTCTCATGAAATCCCAAAAATTATCATATACTTCCTTCATCTTAAATGTTTTTAGTGAAATTTGCACTAAATAGGACTAAAACATAATGACTTTCCTAATGTAGGACTTAAACTTTTTTATTCCCTAAATAGGACTTAATAATGACCTTGTGGAAGGAATAATGTCCAGTCATGACAAACATTTACTTGAATAATGACTGCTTGATAATGACCAAAAGTCCTATATTGAGAAATGAAAACATATGGTCCTATATTAGGAAAGTCATTATGTTTTAGTCCTATTTAGGTAAATTACTCATGTTTTTATAGTTTAACTTTTAAAGATAAATTTTACACATTTCGATCATTAATTATGAAAATAAATATTTTTTAGTTATTACTCCCTCCGTCCCCTAGTTTTTGTCCACTTTTGACTTTTGGAACTGTTCATTTAAGCACTTTGACTCATCAAATTCTCTCAATGTGTAAGCCTAAATATAGTCATGTGTGATCTTGTTTGATTTGTCTTAACATATAGATTATTAATATATAATTTCTATACTTTTTTAATATACAAATTACAAGATAAAATGGATTAAAGAAGTGCATTGGATGGTGTGTAAAAATGAAAGTAGACAAATGACGGAGGGAGTATGTAAATTTAATATAATTAATTTTATTTTAAATTAGATAAGTAATCGGATAATGTGTCTTTTACTATTTCTATGGCCATTCCCTAAATTATAGCCCAACTTGATTGAGGAAAAAACGACTGGAGGTTTTCCTCATGGGATATTTTTGTAATTTTATAGTAGTATACGGTAATGCAAACAGGAGTACTTCTATTTAGGGAAAAGTGGTGTCTTTTACTCTTATATATGTAAATTCACCTTGGTTCCCATGACATTGGGAACCAATGTCATGGGATGACCCGGGGGCGCTCCGGTGCCCCGTTCGTAAAATTGACGGTTCCTACCCCCCTAACCCCCCCGGTAAACACCCCACCCCGGCCCGCCCCGAACAAACCCCCCCCACCCCCTTCAATTGCACTCCACAAGTCGATTTTGACTTTGGAGTCAAATTTTGAGAACGGACTTTTTTGGAAATAAAAAAATGGAAGAGTAAGAGTTTTTGAGAACGGAGGGAGTATGTAATTACAAATTTATAAGACTATGAATTTGATGATTTATTACTCTTATTACTATAATGTTAATTATTATTAAAATTTAATTGGTAGATTTAACTTCATTATTACAGTCCATTTCTCCCGGACGACCGTGGGTGCAACCGTGCACGCATCATATCACTGTTTTTTTTCTTCTTTATTTCCGAATTTCGGATGTTCCAAATCAATTTTGTTTGTTTTTCTTTTTTCGGTTAAAGTTCATGCATGTACTAAAGCAACAATTTCAACTTTTCTTTTGGTCGTAAAGCAACTACTCACCCCAGATTATGTGAGATTTGTTCTTCACATTTGCCGTCTATTTGGTTGGAAGGAAATTAGGAAAGTGGAAGGAAGTGACTGGAAATTAAAGAATTTGAAAATAAAAGTGATGTTTTTCTTGTTGTGAGTTGAAAAAAAAGAGAGAAGGGAAGCTTGAAAAGAGTAGGGTGGCCACTGATTAACTTTTTACCTTCCATTGTCAAATTGTCAAACGATAAATAGGTGCAAATTATGCACGCTGTTTAAGATCCAATTATATAAATGTTAGAAATTTACAAGTTGACAAATGTTTCACACATTCTCCCTTCATTCTCAAAAAAAGTTCATATTTTGACCAAATATAAATGTAAGGAAGTGTTAAATTATATTCCCTCCGTCCCATAAAGATGGGTACGTTTTGACTAAAGTAGAAATTAAGGAAGGGATAATTTTGTGTTGACTTTCAAAAATATCCTTGATGCGATGGGTAAAAGTATGATGTGATGTGTAGATTATTAGGAAAAAAGTATGATGTGATAGGTAGGGTTTGAAAAAGTAAGGGGTAAAAGTGGCTTTTTAATAGAAATGGGTAAGGGATTGTGGGACGCAATTTTTTTGAAACGTATAAATCTTTTTGGGACGGAGGGATTAGTTGACTTCCAATTTTGCCCTTGATATGATGAATAAAAGTAATATTCGATGGATAGATTATTAAGACATAGTAAGTAGATAGTGTACACTCTTATACATGGAGTAACAAACCATGTACAAAGTAATTACACTATACTCCGTAATAAAATTCTACGAAGTAAATAACAAACAATGCATATAACTGGACAGCAGACATGTATTTTATATAGCTGTTTAATTACTATACACTACTAATTAAACAGTGAAATAATTACACTCTCTATGCAGACAGTCAATTGTCAAATTTACCATGGTATTCAAAGGTGATGTTAGAGTCCAATCCCATAGCGGCAAAAGGGAAGCTTTGATCAACATAAGATGAACTTGTCAATGAAACTGGTGTGGACCCAAAAATCCCACTCACACTAGTAGTAGTAATCTGGTTGCCTTCAACAAGGCCGAAGCCCCTTGACGAAGACGCATTCCATCCGAAATTCGGGTCGTAATGCTGCTGGAAACCATAGCGGTGGTGATGATCCGTTGTGGCGTTTGTCGTGGTTGTAGGGAAGTCGTGAAAGTAATGGTAAGACAATGGTTGGTTTTCATGGTGGTGGGTAGTTTCTTGTTGGGACAGTTGGGTGATGGGGTTAATGGGCAATTGGCTCTCCGCCGGGTTCTGGGGCGGCAGCTGGTGGTGGCTGGCGGCTCCGCCGGTCTGCGGCTGGTTGCAGGTGTGGTTTCTGCAGTATGTGATGTTGAAAATGTTGGGATCCTCGTCGGATCTCTGGACTTGTTTGGTGGCCAAACAACCTTGGGCATGTCTATGTGTGCATCTAAAATAGCCTCTGCAAGCATATGAACATAACATATTTCTTTTATGATTCCACAAAACAAGCTAGATAGTGTACATTTTAAATTTAAAATCTTAAAACTAATCTCTTAACCTCGGATATCTGGTCCCAAGGATGTCTTTCTGCCCATACTTTCTCCAGATATAGCCGTCATCGGGATATCCTTCAAACCCGGACTCGTGACACGCCTGAACTTTCTGCGTCCAACGGGGAGCTTTTCTACAAATTTAAAGTTTATTTAGAAGATAAAAAACTTTGTCAACTAAGAAACAGAGTTTAATGATATTCTCTGAACGTACAAGTTTTTGGCCTAGATCAATCACTCCAAAAGGCATACCTCTTACGCGAACCATCGTCCCCGCGGTCGGAATCCTCTTCACTGTGAGGGCTTCCCGTAAATGCGGAAGAAGTTTCTGTTCCGAATGCGGGACCCGGTGGCACGGGAGGAGTGCTCTCGGAGCACGGGTTGTTGTAGTTGAGCATGGCGAGGGCCTTGTTGTAGGAAGAAATGACATTGTGAAGCAATAATAACTCGTGATCAGAATGGGCCGGGGGCGGCCCATTCAGAATCATCTGGAGCTTTGCCGCGGCGTCCCGCCCTTCTGCAAGCTCACTTATGAGTTTCCTAAACTCTCCCTCACGGTCGCCTCCAAAGTTCTCCATTTTTGCAACGCCAGGAATTGTTGTTGAGGAAAGTGAATATTTGGCAGTGAAAGATTATGAGTGGGTTTTTGATGTGTTGCATTATATAGTATTCCCTTTTGGTTAGACCGGTCAATGGTCAATGGAATTGTAGATGAAGAAAGGAAAGGAGTCTTCGTTCTTACTTCTTACACTCTTACTGCTGACCATTTCCAATGTCTGAACAATAATGACTAGTAACCTGGTTTCATCTCATGATTCAATTTTCATTAGATTTTCCTTTATTAACTTCTAGAAGTGGTTAACTACACCACTTTAATTATGGTTCAAATATTAACTAATAGGTCCATTTCACAAGTTTGAACACTCAATTACTCGGGCGTGCTAAAGTTACCGTGCTTTTCAACATTATTTTATTTCACCTATCCGTATTCAAATTTTGAACGATTCTAATAATAGATTGCTTTTAAAATCTATGAAATATGTAAAATCCATGTATTGTTATAAATCTGCACACCACTAGGTGGTTTTACACTATGTTTGGTTCAATAAATTAAGAAGGAAAAGCAAAGAAAAAGATTTTCTCTCATTTTACTCACCAAAAAAGAAGGATTTTAGATTTTTTTTGAACCAAGCACAATATATTAATCACCAAACAATTCAACTTACAAAAATTAGAATAACCCCTGCTGCTATACTACTAAACACAGAACATGCCATCTCATGGGGAAAACATTACAATCCGTGAGCAAGTTTGTTCCTGATCGACATGGTAACAGTAGACTTCAATCTCTTACCAAATGCTCAATAGTCATCTCCCTAATTGTTAGCATCCTAACTGTGACCCAAAACTTACAACATGATGAAAAGTGGTACTCCCTCCGTTTTCAAAAACTCTTCCTCTTTCATTTTTTTTTATTTTCAACAAAACACTTCCACTTTCTTTTAAAAAAACCACTTTTACCCTTACTTTTTCATACCCTACCTATCACATCATACTTTTTCTCTAATACTCAATCCATCACATCTTACTTTTACCTATTACATCAAGGGCAAAATTGAAAGTCAACTACAATTCAACACTTCCTTATTTTTACACAAAGTCAAAATAGGAACACTTTTAAAAAACGGAGGGAATATTATTTTCTGTGACAATGAAGAGTGGATTATTTTGGGAGGAGCATGAAAATATGAGATCATTTGAAATAATGTTTCATTATGAAAATCAAAATTCAAATCATCAATTTCCAAATTTCAATTATGAGACTCAAGATCGTAAATATATGACTCCAATTAAAACTATAGAGCGAAAAGAATAGGTAGGGCGTAAGGGATAATCATTCAATAAAACTTTTTATTGAAATTAGATGAAACTAGATCAGATTATATTAGAAACATCTTTAAGTATAACTTCATTCAAATCACACCAGATTAAATAAGAACGTATTCCAATCAGATCAGAATCATTCATATCAGGTGAAGAGAACATGACCTCAACCATGCTCGATGGCATTGCTCAATATGTTCCTGTCGATGCAAGTGATGGACACCGCTACACTAGGTACAACTATTATATATAGAGAGAGTATATATATGTCCAATGTGTGAAATCTAATTTACCTCTTCTAGCATCAGGCAGTTCTAAGGGCCCTCGGGCATGAGGTTCGATCTTTTATTATGGGCGGATCCACCTTAGTATATATGGGGGCAGCTACCCCAGTTAAAATAAAAAATTTTAATACTTTATTAATTTTTTTAGTTTCATGTATACTGCCCCCAATACAAAATAAAAATTACTCCTAATTACCACTGACCAACCTATTTATCTTCCAAAATGCCATTCTTGCTTGTCCAAGAAAGAAAGAGCTTCATATAGCCTTTTTTAACATTTAAAATATCATAACTACCCTCACTTCATTTATTAAACTTCACTCAGCTCATTTAATATACTCCACCCAATTTCATATTGATGGGATATTGGGCCTGGATGGTCTAGTCTTGGCCCAAAATTTAAAAAAAAAAGAGAAAGGGATTACATGTGAGGAAGAAAAACGGGCCTTCGAGTAGCCCAGTCCATGAGAAGAGGGTGATGGGCCTCCAACCTGACCTGAGCAGGAAAGAGACATCCACCTTTCCCGGGATTGACTATGCTGGATCGTTCATGAAACGGGATAGCCAGGGGTAGTGGTAGTGGTGGAGATTAACCAAGGCTAATTGAACCATTAATTTTTTCCCTTGTTGTCTCTAGGATTGGCTCGAAGGAAAGTTTAAATTGAAACTGAGCTTGTTCTTTAGGGCTTGAACTCTTAACTTCCAGTTTCTTCCAGTTCCTTCCAATTTCTTCCAGTTCTTCCAGTTCCTTTCAGTTCCTTCTAGTTTCTTCCAGTTTCTTTCAACTATTCTCATTTTCTTCAAACTTTTTCTACTCGTCAACCAATTACTATAAAAACGATATATTTTAATCTGATTATTATTATTATTATTACAACTGTTATGTTCATAACTATAGTTTATAAATTATTTTTTTCATCTCACTATTTTTACGATTCACACTCATTATTTTTTTCTTCAACTTTTTAATATGAATAAGACAATTTTTTGTATATTATTCTACATGATAAAACAGGAAAACATCAATATGTTAAATTATATTAAAAAATTATGTATAAAATAGTGACATTGAATTTTTATTAATCTAACTTTATATAAGACCTCTCACCTTTCCCTTTACTACTTAAAATCTGCTCATTTTTCTAATTTTTATAAAAAAAATTGTAAGTCAAAATAGTTTAGAGAAAAAAACTAAAATAGGAGTAAAACATAAAAAATAAAAAAAAGTTCTATGCCTTATTCCAAAAATAAGACTTCAATGAAAATAAAATGTTAATCATGAAAGAAAAATTAGGTTTGATTAGATTATGTGACATGTCTGATATTTAAAACAAAATCTTGTAATATATAAAGTAGAATTACAAATATATTATTTATAATAAATACTGCATTAATAAATTGAGGTGCAATATAACCACAAAGACTTTTTAAAATTTAAGATTTTTTTATTTATGCTAACTTTATATTATAATTATTTTTTTGCAAAAGAAATTTTTTGTATTTAAAAAATAACAATACTTTTTTTGTATCTAAAAGGCATTCATTAAGAGAACGTGATGATGATGATGATCATAATAATAATACTAATAATAATAATAATAATATAATATAATACAATATAATACAATACTTCCTCCGTCCCGTAAAACATGGGAGTTTTGCTTTTTAGGAGGGATTTAAGGGGAGTGTATTTTGGTATTGAATTTTCAAAAATGTCCTTTGATGTGATAGGTAAAAGTATGATTTGATGGATATATTATTAGTAAAAAGGTATGATGTGATAGTTAGGGTATGAAAAAGTAAGGGGTAAAAGTGACTTTTTAATAGAAATGAGAAGTGTTTTGTGGGACGGATAAAAAAAGAAAGGAGAAAGGTTTTATGGGACGGAGGGAGTATAATATAATA